ATCTCAAACAACCTTATTTCACACCTCAAGGAACTAAAACAAGAAATTATGCCCAAAGTTAGAAGAAGAAAGTAAATAATAAAGATCAGCAGAAAAATAAGAGAGACCAGAAAAACAGAAAAAACAATCGACAAATCTAAGAGCTGTTTTTTGAAAGCAGAAAAATGAAAGAGACCAGAAAAACAGAAAAACAATCGACAAATCTAAGAGCTGTTTTTTGAAAAGCTAAACAAAATGACCCAACATTAGCTAAACTAAGAAATAAAGAGAAGACTCAAATAAAATCAGAAATCAAAGAGGAGACATTATAACTGATACTGCAGAAATACAAAGGATCATAAAAGACTACTGTGAATAATTATATGCCAACAAATTAGGTAACCTAGAAAAAAATGGATAAATTCCTAGAAACATACAACTTACCAAGATGGAATCAGTAAGAAATAGAATATCTGGACAGATCAATAATAAGTAAAAACATTAAATCAGTAATCAAAAACCTCCCAACACAGAAAACCTCAGAACCAGACAGCTTCACTGGTGAATTCTCCCAAAGTTTAAACAGGATTTAATGCTAATACTTCTCAAACTCTCCTCCAAAAATGAAGAGGGAACACTTCAAAACTTATTCTATGAGGCCAGCATTACCCTGATACCAAAGCCAAATAAGGACACTACAAGAAAAATATAAAGCAATATCCCTGATGAATATACATGTAAAAATTCTCAACAAAATATTAGCAAGCAATTCAATAATGCATTAAAAGGATTACAACTTTTTTATGACCAAACGGAATTTATCCCTGGGATGCACACCTTCTTAATGACCAAGTAGAATTTATCCCTGGGTTTAACCTATGCACATCGATAAATTAAAAATAAAAATCACATAATCATCTCAGTAGATGCAGATAAAAGCATTTGACAAAATACAGCATCCTTTCATGACAAAACCCTCAACAGATAGGGTATAGAAGGAACAAAATAATAAAGGCCATATAGGACAAACACACAGCTAATATTATACTCAACAGTGAAAGATTTTCCTCTAAGATCAAGACAAGGGTGCCCACTCTCACCAATCTTGTACTATCAGAAGCCCTAGTCAGAGCAATTAGATGAGACAAAGAAATAAAAGGCATCTAAATCAGAAAGGAATAAGTAAAATTGTCACAGATGATATGATCTTATATGTAGAAAATCTCAGACAACCAAAAAACTGTTGGAACTAATCAACGAATTCAGTAAAGTTGCCAGATATAAAATCAACATACAGATATCAGTTGCATTTCTATACACTGACTATGAAACATCTGAAAAAGAAATAAAGAAAATTATCCCATTCGCAATGAATCAAAAACAGGAAAATATATAGGAATAAATTTAATTAAGGAAGTAAAAGATCTGTGCAACAAAAATAAAAACTTTGTTGAAAGAAAATAAAGATGACACAAACAAATGGAAAAATATCCCATGCTCATGGAAGAATATTAAAATGTCAATTCTACCCAAAGACATCTACACTCAGTGCAATTCCTATCAAAATATCAATGGCATTTTTCACAGAAATAGAAAAACAATTCTAAAAATTGTATGGAACCACAGACTCCTAGTAGCCAAAACTATCAAGAGAAAGAAAATCAAAGCCAGAGGCATCGCACCTCCTGATTTCAAACTACACTATAAACCTATAGTAATTTAAACAGTATGGTACTACATAAAAACAGACATAGAACAGAATGGAGCACCCAGAATTAAATTCATGCATATATAGTCAACTAATATTTGACAAATATGCTAAAAACAACCAATAGGGA